TTTTAATCAATGTCACTCATGGTGAAAGGATGTGATGGTGGCAGACATAAAAATACAACTACTAAATCTCTTAATCTCTACTTCCAGTAGACACTCTCATCAAGGATCTATTTTCAGTTTTTTCCAAGATGTGTTACTTAGTTAATATAAAATATAATAGGTCATAAAAGTCATACTTTTTTAAGTTCTTTACGAAGTCTTTCATTTTCAGCAACAATCTTCTCTGTGCCTTTGGTTTTGGACTCATAGTACATACTCAACTGATGCCCAAGATGAACTTTAAGTTTCTCCAATTCAGCCTAAGTAATAAAAAAAGATACTTTATCAAAATGTGGAAAAAAATGAAAGATGATCTTGTAAACTCATAAATCTTAGTTCAAAGTTGTTTTAGAGACCATATTTAATATGATTTGAATTAAATAAAGTCTTCTCTTAAATACTGAGCATCTATATCAAAGGTTTTCAACCTTGGGCACATATTAGAATGACCTGATAACTTAAAATAAATAAATAAATAAAATAACTCACAGCACCTATGCTGGGATCTACCCTAAAACAATCTAATCAATCATAGAGGCTGAAGCCTGGGCATTTGCATTTTTTTTTAAAGAGCCACAGATAATTATTTTATGCTGTCAGAGTTATGACAAAATAAGGACAACCAAATAAAGCTATTCTGTAACTACTCTTGTCTCCAACAAGATTTTTCTGTATGTACAAAATGTCTACTGTATCCACCAAAGCCATTTTATATTGTATATTTTTTTTCTAAAAAATTAATAAAACCTATAATAGTAAAACATTCCCATAAAAATGATCACATTAAAAAAGTTACCTTCAACTTTTCATTTTCCAGCTCAATATTAGCCATTTTCTCACTGGTCAGTATTCCTGATGCTTTTTTCAACTGTTCATTTTCTCTTTGGACTTTTTCAACTACCTTTTTCATTAAACCAATGGTTTTTTCTAGTTCTGGGATTGTCTTTCCACTTCTACCAGACTATATAAAAGAATATGTTAATGTTTTTTATTTAATCAGATATTTTAGAGAGTATAATGTATCCACAATAGAATAAGTTCATTACTATACTCATTAACTTCTAACATTTCAAGGCAAAGCTTGTATTATTTCAATCCATCCTTAGAACAATCTTATGACACAGGAATTATAATCCTCACTTTACATATAAAAAAATCAAAACTCAGAGAATATTTCTAAACCCATGCAGCTAATAAGAAATAGTGGAGAATAAAAGTGTAGCCTTGGTGTCTGATTCAAATGAATAAACCGAAGAGCCTACATATTCTATTTAGTTAATATACCTTCCAGTATATTAGAGCTTTCTTTATATGGAACAAAACCACTAAAGAGAAATTGTGTTTTTAAAAGCTCATCAGCTATCAAATTCCAATTCCAGCATAACAGAGTGCTATGGATTAAATTGTGCCCCATCCCCCAAAAAAAGATATGTTGAAATCTAACCCCTACTACCCATAAACCTGGAGTCTTTGAAGAAGTTATCAGTTAACATGAGGTCATACCAAGGTAGGGTGGGTCCTAATTCAATCTGAACGCTGTTCTTACAAATAAGAAAACAGACACAGAGAGACACACAGGAAGAAAGACAGCCATGCAGAGATGCATCTCCAAGTCAAGGAATGCCATGAAACACCTGGGGCTACCAGAAGATGGAAGAGACAAGGAAGGATTTTCCCCTAGCTCAGAGGGAGAGAGCATGGCCCTGTCCAAGTCCTAAATTTGGTCTCA